AGATCTATTCTATATTGTAATTTTTCTACAATTTTAATCGTATTCTTTCGATTTCTAAAAAGTTTTAATCAATGCGTTAATTAATTTTTCCACAATCATATGATCGCTGAAGGTACAGTCTCTTTTCGTGTCAGCTTTTCAAAAACGTTATACAAAAAATCGGGATTTTTTTTGAAATGTCAGAGTGTTAGCGGTCCGAGTATTAATTTTTTTTTTTTTATGACTCATGTGATGTTACCTAAAACTATAATAAAAAAGCTGATGTTAGATGCGGTGTTAAAAACGAATATTGCACTACAAATGCATAGAATATGCGTTGTAAATTGTACGTAACTATCGCGTTACTTTTATTTCAATCAGATAATTAAAATCATTCTGACAAATAATCGCAACTTTGCACATTATGTTCAAATTGGCAAAATCGTTTTTATTTTCTGTGTTAGCAAAATGCATACATAAATAGTGTTTGTTTACGATTAAACGGATTGCCATTGCGATAATATATATAGGGGAAAGTAGGGTAAAACTTAGTAGGCTGATTAAACGAAGTACTTTTATCTCTTCGTAATAAGTGCTACTTTGGCTAACTCGTGTTATTAGTTGTAGATTGATGACGTCATTGTTTTGGGGTGAACACCGTGCCCACGTGCACACAATATTTCTTTTTTGAGGGAAGTTCAATTTGCCAATAAAGATTGATATCGGGGCAACAATGCAGGCAATTATGGATTTTTTCTATACAGAGCATCCGCTTCGATAAATGCAGCATTGCATTTTGTACATATTAGAGATTATATCGCATTAGCTTTGATCGTCACTTTGTACGCCGGAATATACAATCGCCGTGTTTGTTATTTTTTTCGTGTTGGGACAAAACCAAGTACCTACACAATTCATGTAATGAAAAGAGAAAAAACTATTATTCTGATTTTGTCTCCCTACAAAAAGCAGTTGGAAACGAGAACTACCACTCAGAAAAAGAAACCACTAAAAAAAAAAACTTTTTGAGACCCCTAACGTTAAAATATTAAATAAGAAAGTTCTGCAACAATGTAGAACAAGAGGATATCTTTTTATTTGTGATTTTTGTCAATAGAATACATCTTTGTGTTGTATTTTGATTAAAATAAATCTAGATTTTGTAATTGCACAGTGTTTTATATGTTTTCAAATGGGTATCCGGTTTTACCCTACCGGTAGGGCAACTTCTTTGACTTTTTCAAAAAATCTTGTTATCCTTGGTAACCAAGTATATTTTTTCAGCAACTAGCTTCATTTTCTCATAATTTAAGGTCCACTAAAGACTACTAACAGTCAGCAAATTTTTTTTTACGCTCTGATTTTTTGTAGAGAGACAAATCCAAAAGCTAAATTGACATAAGACAACGTCATCTATTCGGTGTAAGCAACAATTACCACACGAAAACAATAGAACTCCGCCATCCAGTAACTTAATGCCATCTATGAAAATCGGGCACGAACTTATGCAATCATCCAATATATTTAACTTTAAATATTTTTAGAGGAATAATTATTTCTTACTCATAAAGAGAGATTGCAGCAAAACGATAATTTATTATTTTGGATTTCTGTTATTACGTTTCTTACTTGATTAAATATAATTTGCACGAAATACACTCTTTGAAATTTATTGTTGCGATGTACATAGTTACACATTATTTATCAACATTAATTATACATTAATAATATCAATAATATCTAATTAAACAAATCTTCGCAAGTATAGCTCTTTTTAAAATAGCGATGAGGATCTTCATAGAGGAAAATGAGTCACAGGTGTAGGGCAGCAAATAAAGAATTATGGTCCGATAAAAGTGTTTAATTTAAATCGACTATTCTGATTCATTGTCAATTGCTATGATTTATAATGGTCACCAGTCACAAATACGCAAGCGCGTTATGCTAAGCGTCGCTCGATTCGAATCGCATGATATAAACGTTTCAGTCTGGTAAAAACGACATGCACGAATAGTCGGCTTTCAAGAGCGCGCATAGTATATATATATTTCTTTATATATATATATATATGTTTCTTTTCATTTGATTGCTTGTATATATATATTTCTTTATATATATATATGTTTCTTTTCATTTGTTGCATTTCATATGTTGCTTTTCTACTAGATTATATTAAGAGGAACTATAGAGGAAGACTGATAATATTTATATTATTATTTGATACAATCGAATGCATACGTGTCAGTTCAACGTCATTGGTTTTCATAAAAAAAAGTAAGCATTTATTAACTAAATGTTTTATAATTTGATGATATCGTGATTGGTAAGATGCATCGTGATTGGTTATAAAAAGAAATTTTGAAAAGTAGCGCTAGAAGAGATCTCATGATTGATATACTAAACAAATTTCAAAAAATGATATATGTAAGAAAACATCAATTCGATTAGCATATTGGCATTATAGATCGTTAGAATCACTATTTATAGCTGAGCCGCCAAGGATTGCGTGGAAACTGATTGAATGCAAGTATTTACAAAAACAAAATTATTATGTCAAAAACAGTATTATGTGTTTTATTGAAAGTGTTATTGTTAGCGAGAATAGATACTTTGTCAAATGGTCGAAATTCAGACTTACAGGTAAGAGATTACTTTGTTAAATAAAATTAAATGTTATTATAACTGATAGTTCATTTGGATAATTAAAAGTGTATATAATAATAAAATATATGTACTGCATAATAATAAAATGAAACTATGTATAAAGCACTAGAAGAATATGTATGATGTTATGAAAAAATAGAAATATATAAATTTTGAAAATTTTGTTTATAAATGGATGTTATATAGCATAAAATTAAGCTTAATTAAGATGGTATATTTAAACTTGATTGTATTATCTTTGTATTTCTTTCTTCGCTTTTTTTTAAAATAAGTATTTTTGATATCAATAAGAGATTTTCTGTTTATTCTCCGCTATATTAATACATACATATGATAACATTTGAATTCATTTTTCTTTGATTTCTAAGATCTCTTTATTTTTTTAAATATTTATACTCACATTTATTAGTATAATAAGATTTGTGCTAAATTAGTTTTTATTTAACAAAATTAATTTAAAAAGTATATATATTATGTAATAGTTATATATTTATATATTATAACAAAAAAGAGCTATTAAATATCGAAATAGAAAATCGAGTATCGGTATAATGAAATTTCTAATTGTATCAATTAACCTTACCAATAAGGCCAACAGTCACATAAATCAACAATATACGCAACCAGCCAATTTTTTGCTTACGCCTTGGAATTTATATATAATTTTTATTGTACGTACAGGGTGTCAATTTGAAAATTATTAGCCGGGATATCTCGGGATCTAGTAAAGATATCAAAATACGATTTGGAAAGTATATAAGATAGCAAAGAGAACGTCGAATTGCAATATAACTATCAGGAGGTATGTCATCCCCTATGAGCCGCTTTCTCCAACTTTAAAATCTCAAATAGCATTTACCCGCTTTATGATATCTCAAATTAAAGATCTTAACGAGTATTTTTCACCTGCTTAAGAAAAATTCAAATTGATCGATTTGTTTTCGAATAATACCAGGTGATTAAAAAGATTATTATTTCTTAAAGCTGTAACTGAGACACGCTTTATCTAATTTTTATTTGTTCTTATAAAGTATTTAGTTATAATAAAGGAGTAAAAACAACTTTTGTGGAAAAATTACAGCCTATAACAATTGAACAACTTCGGCAACGGATCATCACAGAGTGCAGATTCATTTCCAGACAAAGGTAAATGTTCAGATTAACTTACACCTCACGGATCGTTTTCATTTTCACATATATTATAGAGGGCACATTCCTAAGTAATACGCACTTTGAATTTTGTGACGCTCTCTTCTAATTCCAGAGATATGCAATTTTAAAGTTTCACAGTTTTAATGCTTTTCTGTTATAAAATAAGAAAAAAATAAAGTTTTTTTGCGTTATATTTGTGTAAAGCAGACGTGGAAAAAGTGTTTGTTTACATTTCTGGAAACAAAGCTCCTTGAATTTTTCCATTTTCCACGCGAAGCGAGGTTCAACGCAAACTTATGGGTCTAGTTTGTTAATAGTGGAGCTCCTCCGCAGGGGGGGCGGAACATACTGTCTCCACGCATATACTTTTTAATGCGTAAATATAAAATAAAAAGTTGTAAACCCATGTGAAACCTTATTTTGCATTAAAAAGTATATGCATGAGACAGTATGTTCCTCCCCCCCTGCGGAAGATCATCACTATCAAAAACTAAACACATAGGTTTGCGTTAAACCTCGCTTTGTGTGGAATAGCAATTATGGGAAAGTATAATATATAATTTTTTAAATAGTTACTTACTTGGAGAAGTTAACTAACTTACCGTAAAAAAACCAAATAGTTAAACAAAATTGTTTCAACAATTGAAAAAAACTACACTTTCATGTATTATTTGCTAAGAGAAGCAGTTAATCTATTCTGTGTGAGTTTAGGCTATCGCACACAAAATTGACATAGCTGCATATGCATAGCAGACCGTCTGGATTAACGAGCATCGAGCATTAAGCCACCACATATTGATTTACACAACATGCTCATTGATCCAGACGATTTTATTGACATCTATTCGACGCAGCTGTGACGCGATTTGTGTGCAATAACACTTTTTCTTTGATTCTCTTAGATTAAAAAGAATCATGTTTGATATGCAAGAACATGTCTTGAAAAACAACAAAAACAAATTTGAAATAAAATTCAACTACATTGTATTTAACACATTATCAATCAGAAGAAGTATAAAGAAAAATATCAAGCTGATATGATTAAACAAACAAGAAATTTCATGGCAATTTTACTTACTTGTACATATATTATTTATTATTAGAAGTATCGCAAATAGCCGCGTTTTTAACCCAGCGATGCTTACTTAATTCTTTTCGTATGTTATACTTTATCAAGAATATTCCAGTATCCGAGAGCAACGATTTTCACATTTTACAAAATCTCGAATATGACTGGGGTCATTCTGATAGTGTGAGTGTGAGAAACAAAGTTGACAAAATTCCATTTGCAAATATGTCTGTGATCCTAGAATCTACTGGTAAGTTGCAAAGAAATGCGTAAATCGTTAAAAAAAGGTCTACGACAAAAGAAATTGTAAATATAATTTACATTTAAAAGAAAATAAAGAAAAACATCTTTTATGTAAATATACCCATTTAAAAAAATCAAAGATCTCCAATTTCTCCTATCTCCAAAACTGTGGGAGTTATTCGGGTGGCCTGTCTTAGATGCCTTACCCTGTATATTATATAATGTATTATAATATATACAGATTTTTTTGAAAAAAGTTAAATTATTTGTTGAAAAAGCGGTATAAATTTTGCAATGCATATTATTAGATGAGCGTATTGTAATTTTATAACAGGGTGCCAACAATGCAAAAAAGATAACGAGCAAGTTTTCCCTCCGATAATGACCGATATCGAATTAGCGATTCTACATGAAATACCTGACGGTAACATTCAATTCAGTACCTTTTACAATCCTATGTTGCAATGTAATTCGGATGAATATATATTGACTGAAATCAAACGTGAAGAAATCAGCCTAGAGAAACTTTTAGGCAGCGGCGCATTCGGAAAGGTAAAAACTAATTTTTTCAATGTTATACGCATACGCTAATTTCTAGATCTACCGAAATTGAAACAGATAAGCATTTCTCGACAAAAATAATTAGATGAATAACTTTTTATAAGAAATTATAAATAATGCAAAATTTTTGTAAAATAACATACATGTGCACTCTACTATGCATTTTTCGTTAAATTACTAGGGTGAATCATATATAAACGAGACTTGTTCAAAAAATATTTATTTGATTAATACACTTAAAAACTAACAGAAAATTGTTTTTCTACATTGTACCCACTAATATTTACACATTTTTGCCATCGCACTGGCAGTTTTTCTATCTCTGCTTTATAAAAAGTAGTAGGACGAGTACGAAGCCAATTTTGCACGAAGTCTTTCATCTCATCGTCGTTGGAAAACCTTTCAAAACTCATAAGACTTCTTTAAGAGGTCCAAACAAATCCATCATATATGAAAATGCGTATCAAAAATGCATCTTCTGCTGTATGGCGATCCAAAAGTCTCTGAGAAATTTCAGCCCTTCAGTCTTTTGATCTGCATTCAAAATTCGAGGCATCCATCGTGCAGTGATTTTTTAAAATCGTAACTCATTCTCAATGATTGTTTGCACATTTCCGTAACTTATGCCAGTCCCTTTACTAATTTCACAAACAATTATTAATCGGTCGTCTTCAATAAAGTCGTGAATTTGTTGAATGTTCTCAGGCGTAATATTCGTCTTTGGTCGACGCGCATGAGTCAAATTTGCAACTTCTTCACAAGCTCCACAAAAAAACTTATGCTATTTGCATACTTGAAACTTTGATAATGTGTTCTTACCGAACTTACGCGTAATCTGTATAATATTTCAACTGGTTTAACATGTTCGTGCGTCAAAAATTTAATAATTATGCGTTGCGCAACCGAAACAGGCATCTTGTGTTTATTCATCGTGCTTACTGTTAAACAAACGATTACAGAAACAAACGCGCAGTTTAGAGCGAGTTTAAACATGTTTACCAACAGCCTTTACCTATTGTCACAACGACGAGCGTTAAGGTATCCTATTCCTATACGAAAAGTCTCATTTATATTTGATCGACCTATTTAGTCAACATATTTAATACAAAATGAAATATATAATGTGACTTGACATTAAGCTATATATTTTTTAATAAAGCATAAATCTAAATTTATTTCAAATATTTCGCAGGTGTTTCAAGGAACAGTAAAGAATTTAAAAAGACCGGGAATAGAGACACCCGTTGCCATAAAAATGCTTCGAGAAAATGCTTCCTCGCAAGAAAAAAAGAAGTTTTTAGAAGAGGCTAGGCTTATGAATCGCTTCCGACACAAACATGTGCTAAGATTGTTGGCCGTCTGCTTAGACAAAAATTCTCCATTAATTGTGTTGGAATTAATGGAGATTGGTGATCTGTTACAATATTTGAGAGATAATAGAAAATTGCAACCGTCAGATGCGCATGCTCTGCGTCTGCAAGATTTATTCGCCATGTGCGAAGATGTTGCGCGAGGCTGTTGTTATCTGGAAAATCTGCGTTTCGTTCATAGAGATCTCGCGTGTCGAAATTGCTTAGTATCCGCGAGAGATCGCGAGAACCGTGTCATTAAAATTGGCGACTTTGGACTAGATAGAAATGTTTACAAAGATGACTATTAGTGGTAAATACAATTATCGTAAAAAAATGAAATTTTTTAGAAATGTTTGTGTGTTCTTTTTTGTCGTAATGATATAGTACATTTTTACTTTGAATAGAACTTAAGAAAGATGGATTATTTCTGTTTATAAATATAAAGCAAAAGATAAATAAACGTTTCTCGTTGTAATACAAATGCCCTTAAAATGGACAACATAAACCAAACGATTAACTTCGTTAAAATCACTTGTTTTAGAAAGGACAAGGTCTTCTTCCTGTTTGCTGGATGGCACCGGAATCTTTGGTGCTCGGAATATTTACTTCCCAGAGCGACGTTTGGTCATTCGAGATTCTAATGTAGGAAATTACATCGTTGGGTGAGCATCCCTATACTGGCAAGATTAATCAGGAAGTGATAGATTATGTCCGCGCTGGAGGCAGGTTGCCGATGCCTCTCAATTGTCCACCGACTTTGTACGAGTTGATGCTACGTTGTTGGAGTCCAACGAATGATAGACCAAATTTCAAACTTTGTCTCGAAAATATTATAGCTCTAAGAAATAACATAGAAGATGCCTTATTGAGTCCAATGGATATTATGTAGCTAATAAAATTAAATTAATTAATGACGTTACTTTCCAAATGATCAAATAAAATGCTCAAACGTAGAAAAAATAATTTTAAATAACTAATATTCTGCCGTTTTCAAGTTTTATCTTAATATTAGATTAGTAGATAAAGATAAGAAAGACATTCCTCAATCTTACTTTGCGAAAAATTTTGCTGATCACAACATTTATTTGATGTTAGCACTTTCGAGTAACCGAAACGAAACTTAATTGTTCTAATTACTATAATTATTGGTAGATTCCTACAATAGTTTTGGAAATAATGTCTATTTTATATTATATTAGCACTCTGTTTATTTCTATATTTTTTCTTGCTTGAATGCTTAAACAAAATATACATTTTAAACAATTTTCTGGAATCTTTTATTCTCTTTCCTGTTATTCTATTCAAAAAAGAAATCAAGGTGGATGCTGGCGAGGCTGATTTGTGCATAGTCAAATATTTGGCGGAAAATGCAAAATTTGAAACAACAGCCTTCAAGCAAATGAATGAAGTAGGAAGTACGTTGGTTTAAAAAAATCAAACCGGCTTCAATGAAAATGACTTACCGATTCATTCTAGCATGCACCAGAATCTAAGGTTTACTTTTACTTTGTATAAAAAGAATGATTTTTTTGCATTGTATAAAAGAATTACTTATATTGTGTAATTTAAATGAGAAATTCTTCTATCAATAATTTACTAAATATTTTAATATAGAGACTAACATATTTTGTTTCTATATATAATTATTCACAAATAGTAAAATAGAAATTTAAAAAAAAAATTAATTTAGTAAAAGCAAGATATTATTTTTTTTCTATATTCTGAAATGACTCTTTTGCTGATAAATGTAAAAATAGCGTATTTCTTCTCTTTCTTTTTAGAATCAATTTATCTGCAAAGATTATGAAATCTCCAGATTTTATCATAATAGAAGCGCAGGAATCTTATTGCGTGAGTCATAAGGAGATCTTAAAATATTTGAGAGATTATGCCCAGCACTTGGATATGTCGACATATTAACGTAATTATATTTTAATATCGAAAATAATAGAAAAAAGTTGGTTGTTTATTTAAAAATTAATAAATTTTTTTTAGTTTGATACACATACAAGAATTGTACACATTCAAGTTGAACTACCCGAATATAGCAATAGAGAAAAGAAATCTGCAAGTGAAAAAATTAAAGACAAACGAAACAGAATTCCACGCCGGCCGGTACTTGGCCCAAAAGCCAAAAACAACGATAATTTTGAAGGGCTATAATTTTGCGAAAAAAAATCGTAGCGACTTTGCCTTTTTTTCAAATTAAAGTGGAAGATTTGAACTTCATGACAATGCAGACGGTGTCCCCGAAAAAACTTTCTCCTCGTCCGTGCATTCCGTCAAACTTTGCAATTTTCAAGTTTTTAGTATACCAAACATGCCCTTAGATTTCAGGGGTTACAAGCGTAGGGGTGCATCGCATGCAAAAAATGGAGATACATTCTTAAAGTAGAGACTTCAAGCTTTATTTTGAAAAAAAATCATTTGTCTACGATAATTTTTTGCGAAGTGATCGACAGTCAAAATTGGTCAATTATCAGCAAATTTTTTATTATGCCATAATTTTTTTGAGCAGTGTATATATCCAGTATCAATAGTTTTCCGGGTTTAATACTGGACGGTCACGCATATAGAAAATCTGATGTGAGTTCGTCGGAAAAAAGAATTAGTGTTAAGTGCAGCTGATATACATATAGGGGTCGAGTTATCCGATTATGTTGTTTGCGTATACTTAAGCCACAATCATGATAAGTGAATGAATACAAATATTATTCAAAAATAACTAAAACCTTTCAATGTAATACAACTTTTAATGCAGAATTAGACAAAAAGACAGTTTAAAATTTATTTGATATATTCTCTTTTCTTGCAGATTAACAGATCCTTTACCATCGAATATGATACAAATAGCTGGTGTCAAGAGCATGCATGAAACTACATTTTGTCTTAGAGACGGAACCACTGTCAATGATATTAACATTTTTATTTTTTGTACTGGATATAAATAGTTTTTTTTTTAACTAGAATTGTGGTATACGAATTAACAATAATTATGTAACGCCGCTTTACAAACATCTCATCAACATTTGAGCATCCTTCGAAATGCATTATTAATATACCAACAGTCGTTGTGCCATTTTCCATGTTTCATATGGAGATATGACAATTTATCTATCATAACTATCTAAGACAACAAGATGAATAATTTTATACAAACTACCCATACAATACAGAATATTGTAACAACATTGCTATAATGTATTGTATGAGTTTGTAATTATCATTGTGCAATAATAATAGGCACCATTTAAGTCGTAAATTATGCAATTATAATGTTTGAGCTAGAGATAATATATAATATTTTTATATTACATTTTACAAATTTTCGATATTTTTATATATGTATAATTATTTATATGAGAGATTATTACTGTATTATTTAATTTTAGCTTTAAGTTACAATAATACACAATAAATTATAATATTTATAAAATAATAATATTTATAAAATTAAAATATTTGCAAAAACACGATTTGTTTTAATAATTGTGTTGTGATTATTTAATTTCATTAAATTGTTCATACTTGTACAAGCAATAAATGTTTTCCAAATTTTTATTTTTCCGTTGTAATATTTCCTGATTTTACTAAAGGGCCGAGCGATTTTGCTTACGAAATCTGTGATGCTGGAAGATTTGATTTTTAAAAATCGAAAAAGAGACGTGCATAAGCTAGATTGCCAATAGAATTACAATGATTCATTGGCGATCACTAGCAGATTCAATCGGTTACCATTATTTTATAAACTCGGTTATAGAGTATGGTCAAATCAAAAATCTGCGAATCGTTTACGTTATAAATTACAAATCTGTTTTTTTTTTACGATGGGCAAAGCATCGAGTTAATTATACTAAATAAAGTCTTACGTACAATGCATTCTATGAATGCTTGCTGATCATCATATCAAATTTTTTAATATTGTAATATTTTAACTGATTTATAATACGTTGTCTGAAAACATATACATTTGATATTTGACATATCATGTTAATAAATTTTTCAAGTATCCATTCAAACTTGATTTTTAATCCTATATCAAAGACGTATGGCATCAATGTGCATATCAGGCGAATACGCACTATTTTTCTCTTTAACTTTTTTATCTTTTACATTTTAAATACGTTATAACTGTGAGAGAATTAAAAATCGAAAAATAATAAAATTCTTTCCAAAGCGAAAAAATTAATAAAGCGTAACAAAGAGACTCACCAAATTAGTTTGAAACGAGATGGAGAGTCGAGGAAAACACAAACATCCGAGTGGAAATTCTGCTTGAGAATGGTTATCCATTGTCTTTGATTTTTGAAGTCCTCCATTTAAGACTAAAACGATATTTTTTAACGAACGGACGACAAAAAGGAGTGAACGTGATTCTAATGGTGACGGTAATGATAATCGAAAAATTTTTTCCAACATTCCATTTATTGCTGGAGTGTCTGAACAATTTAAACGTGGTCCGTGATGTAATATTCTCTTATACTGCTCTGAATAAATTGCGCTCTACCATCAAAGTACATAAAGATCCTCTGTAGAGACAGTCACGTATGAATATCGTGTATAAGATCTCTTGTAAAGACTGTGATGTGTCGTACGTAGACCAAACGGGCAGATTATTAAAAACACGCATTAATGAACATCGCAATCACATTACAAGAAACACGTCGCAACATTCGGTGACCATAGATTGATAAACCATGAATTTGATTAGGAAAATATTGAGATTTTGGATGAGGAATCAATCCTTAGTAAAAGATTTATTCCCGAAATGTTATTTATAAGATGTCAAAAAAATAGTCTCAACCGACAAATGAACACAGTATGTTTGCATCATACATATGCTTTATTTGTTGAAAATTTGACAAAAACTTAAATAATCTCTCGCGTTTTATGTATTGTGTCGCCTCTGTTGTCTGCGAAATCATGATTTTCTATGTCAGTCTTGTTATTATTTAATTTTGTATTAGTGCGTGCCGTTTGTCTCTGACATTCAGATGTTTGTGTTTTCCTCGATCTCGATTCTCCATCTCGTTTCAAACTAATTCGGTAAGTCTCCTCGTTACTCTTTATTAATTTTCTCGCTTCGGAAAAAATTTTATTATTTTTCAATTTTTAGTTCTCTCCAGCTTTGTAATGTCCTATCATATGGTCATTATACCATCTCTTAACGACTGGAACCGATAGGAGACTTACTACGTAGACGGGAGATGAAATCGAATGTCAAAACACACGAGCTTTTTGTCCGTTAATTTGCTGAAGATGATCCAAAGGAAGGATCGATATGTTTATCATTAAAAAAGATCTCTTAATTTGTGTGTTTTTTTTAAATTAATTTACTCTTTGTATTAATTTATTGCTCTTATTAGCCCTTTTCAATTTTAGTATTGTTATATTTATTGAAGAATCTTAGCTAGTCATTTAAAATAACGGTTGATTCTTGGAACATAAGAAAAATTAAAGAAAAAAATATGAAAAGCTATATAGAGAAAAATAGGGTAAAATTGGGTACTTTTTTGTATTTGTCTTTCTACAAAAATCAGAGAATAAAAAGAGTTTTGTTGACCGTTAATAGTCTTTAGTGGACCTTATACTATGAGAAAATGAGGCTAGTTGCTGAAAAGAAATACTTGGTTACCAAGGACAACAAGATTTTTTGGAAAATTCAAAACACTCGGCTTTGCCCTACCAATAGGGTAAAACCGGGTGCCCATTTGAAAACATGTAAAACACCGTGCAATTACAAAATGTAGATTTATTTTAATCAAAATACAATACAAAGATATATCCTGTTGACAAAAATCACAAATAAACTTATCTTCTTGTTCTACATTGCTGCAGGACTATCTTATTTAATTTTTTAACTTTAAGGGTCTCAAAAAGCTATTTTTTTTAGTGGTTTCTTTTTCTGGGTGATAGTTTTCGTTTGCAACTGCTTTTTGTGGAGAGACAAAGTCAGGATAACAGTTTTTCCACTTTTCATAACATGAGATGTTTATATACTCGGTTTTGTCCCAACACAAGGAAAATAACAAACACGGCGGCTGTATATTCCGGTGTACAAAGTAACAATCAAAACTA